CCCACGAATAATCTCAAAACACGTTGTCTTATCTCGAAAAAAAAGACGCTGAATTCGTTAACCACCTATAGATCCGAGCGAGACCTGTCACGCGCCCTCGTCTCCGTCAGCTTTGGCCAATCGGCCGTCTACCTAACCGGCGGCACATCTCTCGACGACCCCATCCTCCCCATATGGCTCCATTCTGGAGATGTTCTCGTGATGCATGCCGGTTTGTTTTGTATCACCGTTTTTTCACAACTTTATTATCCCAGATCAACGCCTCGTCTACCATGCCGTCCCCTGCATCGTGCCCACGCGAAAATTTGACGGCGCCACGTGCCAAGGGAAAACAGCGGAAGAAGTAGACAAAGAGCTGCTGGACTACGCAAACACCAGTCGGGTCAATATCACAATAAGACAAGTCAACGAGTAGTTACTGTTAGGCATTGATTCGCTAATAAATATCTTTTTTTTTGGGCACAAGGTCTGGCTGAGGATCTGCACGTCATGAGCTAAAATATCACCGGGAGAGGCCTAATACGAGCGACACTATGTACAACATCAGGCTTCTTCAATCCTACCACCTCCGCCTGTGGAAACGCAGAGACCGATCCATGCCGAACGGAAAGCTGGCGAACAGGGTCCTGAAGGTGTTTTTTACAAGGATAATCGTGTTTTTCTACTTTTCTGCTATTCTGCTCAGCCGGCGCTCATCGATGCCAAAATCGGTTCTGATTAGGAGTTTACGGGAGAGCACGTTGATGCGGATGTTGTCGAGGTGGAGCACTGGAAAGTAGAGGTTTTTTGGAGCTGTTTCGTTAGCGAGGGCCTAACGTTTTTCTATGATTTCGTAGGCCCTGTGATAAAACCGCAGCCATTATAATAACATTTTAATCCCGTTTTAGCGCAAATTAAATTTTTCACTGAATTTGCGACCCACCACTCGGAATCGGGATTGGCACGCCGCTGTTCAGCATCTCGTTGACCATATTCTCGATCAGCTGCCCGCCCAGCAAAGCGATGTCAGCCAGTTCGGCATTGGTAATCTAGTCAATCGGAACCTGCTGCAAGAGTTTCTTACCTCCAAGTTCCCAAAGCGATTCAGCAGCTCGAATCGCGTTAGCCGTACCGAACCGCTGACGTTGTTTTGCTAAATCACCGCGAGTCGTGAATTTAGGTATAATCACGGCCGTTCAGAGCGTGCACGAGCTTTAAAAGCTATAGAAAACGCTTCCAACACTTCATGATATAAAAGTTTTTTTACGAAATTGTGTGGAATTTTTTGCTTTATCGAACTAGAGCGGCGATTTTCGAAATATGACCCAGGGGAAAAGTTATCAGCAAAAAAGGAGAAAATCCTTAACATTTTCTATGGCTGGTTTCTTAACGCTATAGAAAACTCTGTCAGCCGCTATTCCTCTAGTTTTTTTTACTAAAATGTGCAGAATTTTTTTCTCTATCGAACTAGAGCGGCGATTTTCAAAATACGGTCAGGGGGGAAAGTTATGAGCTAAAGAAGAGTCGCGCTCTTAACATTTTTGGGGAGTGGGGGAAGCCCCTCTCATGCGCGCCTTCCCATAGATCTGAACGGCCGTGTAATTCTTATATGATTAGTTTTTATAGATGATTTTATCACTACAAATCACGATTTATATAATTGTTTGCAAGATACCTAATAGTTTTAACTTACCTTAACGCTCAGCAAGGTGTCAGCTACAATCTCGAGGTCGAACACGGCCTCCTGGCGCTTTTGCGTGCCCAGCTCCACGTAGAGGATAATCACCCCACCAATGTTTATCGAAATTACGCCTAAAAGTATTAAAGGCCCTAGTTCTAGCTCATTACCTTGATTTTTCTGGCTGAAAAGCATGGCCGGGGCTCGGGTAGCGGCAAATACAAGCTCGATGTTGGCTTTCGGGTATTTATCGGAGAGTTGTGGGATGACGTCGGCGATGCACATTGAGTCGCTGAATGTTTTACATTTGGTTTGATTTTTAGGGTAGAACTAACCCGCAATCGGTTTTTAGGAACGTCGAGACGCCGGGTGTGTGTTTGTCGATGTGAAGTTTGATGAGCCGCTGTCTGGAATAGGGATGGTTTGAATGTTGCTTGTAGTTTAGAGATACTCACTTGTAGGCATGGTAGAGCATGCTGTTGGGCACATAATCCGACACCAGCACCCACATCATCGATTCGTCGTTGCGGATCGTCGGCCAGTTCAGGGGCGGAGGCGGAAATGGTGTCCCACCGCGACCGCTATTTGAAATCTAAGAAGCGTCTATAGGATTGGAACGGAAATCGCGATCTGCTACTGGCTAAATTCTATTGAGCCTTTGATTTTTACGGTTTTGGTTCGTTAACGGGGGGGGGGGGGGGGGGGACAAATTCCGGATTCAGCCTTACTTGGTTAGCTCGATTGTAATAAAAACTATTTTCATGATGTTTTCAGGAGTTTCCGCCTACTAAAAAGTTCCAAAAATATTCTAAAAATTTTGTATGAACTTCTTTGTATCCTCGAAGGCGTAAAATGCCCTGTAAACAGTTTAGAATCCATTATTCGGCATCTAAGGAAACGGTAGAAAGAAATCCCCCCGCTAACGAACCAGAACCTTTCTAATTCATAACTTCTTTTTGTTAATTCTGCCGTATAAGCGCGTAAAACTATTTTACCTCTCCAACCGAAGACAGCTCGACCTCGTTGTCGCCGCAGACAGGATTTTCGGCCAACCTAAATTCAAGTATACTCTGTAATCTACAACCCTTACGTATAGTCAATCACGAAATCCCGGGAAAACGTTGGCCCGAAGAACTTCTCCAGCGACAGCTCTTCGGGGAGGGCAGGGGTCGGAATGGAGAGCCCGCGAATGGCGTTGGCCGATATCGCATCGGCAAGTGTGGATTTTGTTTGGACCTAGGCTCATTAATTTGGACCAGGAAATTGTTTGTTACCTCGGCCAGCTTCCAATTCAGGTCTTCATCCACGTATTTCCGGATTTTCTTGCAAATGATGCCTTGTAGTAGGGTGCGAACATTGTCGGAGATGCCTTGCTAAAAAAGTCGTTACTGTTTTCATTCGATTTAGCTACTTTAAAATTGTTAGAAATCTATTTAGAAAGGAACTTAGATTCGAAATTTTAGACGAATCGGGGAAATATAAAAATAGTGCCATCCAAGTAAAGAAAAAGTCTTCACTTTCTTCGAGTGTTTACTTTTCGACTCGTTTTTTGAAGACACCGCTAAAATACCTAGAAGCGACGTTATGTTTTTGAAGAGATGAATTTAGTTGTATAGTTTCTAAAACATATAAAAACTACGTAGATAGCTTGAAAACTTAATAAACCACCTTAAACACCGTGACGGCCAACCCGAAAAGCCCGCCATTGTGGTTGACGACCTCGACGGAACGGATGGTTGTGTGGCAGGCGAGGCTGGTTACACGCGCGCTTCCGTTGTTTTCCTAGGCACGTTTTGGATATATTTTGATGATAAATTCTTACCCGGTGCACGCTATTCTCGATCTGAAAAGACAGCCCTTCGGCCAGGACCTCGGCCTCGCCGGTCAAGTCAAACGGCACCAAGATGTTCACATTGCCGGCGAGGTCGCCGATTAATCTAAAGAGGTTTTTGCTATAAAAACATTAAGAAGCGGTCATCTCTTCTGCTTTTCTATATTTATAGTTATCTTTAACGTAAAAATTTGGTTCCCCCGATAATGCCAAAGGACCGAAAAACCATAAAGTTGTATAAATCTACCCAATATTCATATTCTTGATGAGCCACGTGATTCGATCGGGCGCCGACGTGGAGATGTCGTGCACCTCGGCCCTCTAGAATCGCCAGTTGATGGGTGAACGTTTTGGGACCGGCCTTGAACCTGGACATCCGGATTCGGGACAGCTTGATGACGCCCTGGTCGGCGGGCAGTCGATGCTCAATGTTGGGGATCATAAGCCGAGGAAGTTGTTCGGCTAGTAGGTTCGAGGCTACCTTAAAAAAAATTAAAAACTACTTTGTGAACTTCTAATACACTTGATTTTCCTTTTGAAACGACAGACACCGCTGGTAAATGGGGCTGACGTAAAAAAGGAGTTCAACGTAGGGGTTTTCATTAGGTTCTTTTGGATACGTTGAAGAATCGCATAGTAATTGTTTTCCTTTTAAGCAAAATTTAATTATAATACATCAAAAACCTATCTAAAAACATTTAAAATGTCTAAAATCCGAAATTTTGGTCGAATTTGGACTTGACAGCGGGCTTTTCGAGCTGTTCGGTGTCTTTTTACCATTGCCCTGATTCCGCAATCACCTTTTTACAATTATTTTCATACAATTATTTCTCGAGCAGAGCCGGGAATGTTAATAACCCTGACAGTGTGTACCACCACCGAGGGGTGGGAAACGAAAACGTGCCCACTTGCCCCGTCGGGGTGGCTGCTGTTCTACCCGATGGCAGTGGGTGGTGAGAGAGGTCGGTTGGGGGATGGAATGGTGAAAAAAACAGGAACCGTACGCCGAGCGCACGACCCTTTCCTCGGGTCGACACCTCTAGTCAGTCAGCGAAACAGCTAGAGGACTTATGGAATAACTTTTGTTGTAGGGGTATTGGTGGTATTGGTTCGAGAAGGGGATGAGGGGAAAAGTTACCCCGATGGCCCGGAAATCTTCAAATTTTCGATAGTTTGGCGGTTATTTTGGGTATTTTTCCACAACATCTGATAGAACGTCGAAAAAATACGCTAACAGCTTTGATTTCAGCCACAATTAACGTAATATAAAATAGGTATGGTATCTACACGATTTAAACACGCAGGGACATCTCTTACCTGATTCAAGTAATGTATTGCCCGGGGACGGACGCGGACCCTGACGGCCGGTTCGGGATTTCTTGAAGGCCCATCGTCATCGACTACCTGAAATTTGGACGTTTTCTCGGCTGGGTTAACTCTCGCTCTCTCTCCCTCTCTCTCTCTCTCTCCCTCTCTCTTTCTCTCTCTCTCGTCAATGTCAATTTTTCATAAGCATCATTGTGTCGAGGTCACTCTCAATGCCTGACCGGTCCGGACCGACATTTTTTGAAGGTTGCTAGCGCGAAGTGGGCTTCCACAATTTTCGGCTTTTCGGAAACCGGTGAGATTATGGCCAAGTGGGGGTGGGATTGTTTCCGAAATGGCTGGTAGTACACTGCGCTTTTTGGGGATGAAAGCTTGAAGAAAACGTGGAAGGCTGGCTGTGGTTTTCACGCAAAATTTCGTAGCTCAAAACAGTTTTGTTAGCGGCTAGCCAGAGAGAGGGAGAGAGCGAGGGAGAGAGAGAGGAATTTTTGAGTTCTAGAGGCCCTTGTCAGGGCAACAAGTTAGCCTTGAAGTGTTTACAAATGCGGGTGACGCGCTCCAAAAATGATGGAGCGGAAAGGCGGAGGTCATTTTTTTCGGTGGGGAAAACTGGTTCCAAGAAAGTTAGCGAGCACGAGCTCGTGCTCAATTTTTCAAGGGGAGAGTTGCACAAAATTCATACGTTTTAGCCTGGTATTTTTGAAAGTTTTAGTCAAGATCTAAAAAAAGTGATTCCAGAGCTTTAACTTTAAAAGTTAAAAACTAATTAAAATAACTCAATGATTTCAGAAAATAACATGGTTTCTAGAGTTTTATGAATTTTAAATGTACGGAACGCTTTTTTTCGTTATGCAGTGGTTCCGGTGGCACCCGCGACACGCAACGCGTCCGGCTTTCCGTTGCGTAATTAGTTAAGCCCTTCGCGGGGTGGATCAGCCACGCGAGCGTTGCGTGTCGCGGTACCTTCAGAATCCATAGCCATGCCTTGCCCGTCCCTTTAACAGTAACAAAAACCCCTTGCAACATGTATAAAACCACAAAACCCAACCTGGGCTGCAAGGATCGGATGGAAATCGCTATCGGCGCGTGCCGAAAATTGAGCGATGATGAGTAGGATGAGAATCGGGGCATAGAGAACCCCATCCATTGCATTTCGCATCTCGGCACACCGACAACCACCACCATACCCTCAGGGGAGGAGGAGCAGCAGATAGAGAGCGAGAGGAGGAGAAACAGAGAGGGAGCACGACAGACAACTGGGAACACCGCCCACAAATAGCAAAGAGATAGGGAGGCAAATTGGAAGAGAGAGAGAGAGAGAGAGAGAGAGAGAGAGAGAGAGAGACAGAGAGAGAGAGGGAGGCTGATAATGGCAACTCATAGTTGGGGGAGGATGACCATTAGGGATATCCTAGTGAACAATCGACCGTACAAGGTGCTGGGCAGGAAGCTTTAGCTAAGGTTTTCGTTGGTAATCCTCAAGGATCTCTGCTCGGCTCAGCTGCTCCTAAAGGGTCTCTGTTAGTTTCACTTTTCTCCAATTTCACCCGATTTCCTATTTCAGGAAATTTTTCTGCCAACATGGGCTTCCACCGGCCAAAATAGGCTTAATTTGACTGCCAAACATTGCTTTGGTTCTCGTGACTCAAAACAATTTTGTTAGCGGAGGAAGAGGGAGAAAGACAGCCAGAGAGAGAGAGAGAGAGAGAGAGAGAGAGAGAGAGAACGAGAGAGCGAGAGAGCGAGACAGTCGACAGAACCCTCTGTTTTTAGCTCGTTCTCACGGCGACAAGTTAGCGGTGAAGTGTTTTACAAACGGAAACATCGGTATATCGGTAATATCGCGAGAAAAACACACATTTTTTAGAACTACCGTACTATTTAGGCCCGAGTATCCAGTAATTTTCTGAAATTCGCGAGGAGAAACGTGTTGAAGACTGGAAGATGACTAAAAACGCTGCAAAATGCTGATCCATCGGATTTACAGTACCATCTGTGTTGTACAGCATTATCGGATTCAGTATCCCACAAATCATTTTGTCTGTGTTCTAGTTTGCAAGAAATCTACGATATCTGCATTTTCTGGAAAATAACGTTTGATCGGTAATACCGACAAATTCAGCGAGTTTTTCAACTCCGGACTACAGCAAGCCACTGTTTTCCAAATTCCCGAGACGCTAAAATCCCTTTATCCCGACTGAAAATGATTAAGGGACGATTTTCAAGCTATCAATCCCCCCACTTCGAGCACGTGTCATCTCGAATTCGATCGGATCGCCTCAAGCCAAACGGGGAGGTCGATGAATTGTCGACAGATCTGAGCGACGAGATTTGTCGCTAGGTGTTGAGGGTAGTGAGGGTGAGAGAGAGAGTGAGCAAGAGAGAGAGAGAGTGAGCAAGAGCGAGGATGTCCTTGGCTCGAATCGGCCCTCCTCCCCCCGTATATCGACCCGATCCAGTCTCACTCCGGACAGTCCTCCTCCTCCCCCTCCTGCTCCCTTCATTCTGACACCCAGCTGACCCGAACACCCCCCAAAGAGTATTACTCCCTTTCTCTAGGTCTCTCTCCATCTCTCGCCCACTCTCTATGACCTAGAAATTAGCTGCTGCTCTGAATTTTTCGATAGCTACGCATCGATACGTGATGACGACTTCTGCTGGAATGGTGAGTGGAAATGTAATATATTGCGTAAGGTATTAGGAAACATTTTCGTCACTGTTGTAGCGCAGCGTGTTGTTGTGCAGCTGTAAAATAGACAATTTCCAATGGAATACATTGCGTAACGTATGAAAAATTCGCTTACGTACTGCAGTAACTTAACGCGTATACCTAAACACATTTAATTTATGGCGTATCAGGTTGCAAAGCGTACTTTTGCCTAGTAGGGTTACCGTACTGTTTAGCGTACCTTAGCGTATTGGCGTAGCATAACGTACTGTTATTTGACTGACTGACACGTAACGTAACGTCCAGCAATACATTTTCATAGATTAGGTGAAGTATTAAGCAACTTAAAGTGCGGTATTTATTTTTTACATTATTTAGATGTTATTTCTCGGCCTTCTCTGCCTATTTCTTCAAAATGTCGCTACTTCTGAACTTGGTGTTGTCGTCGGGGACGGGGCCGCCTCACAACTCCTCCGCCACGCGGCCCAACTACTCCTTGCCGAGCCACGGCATGTTGAGGTTCGTCTTCTCCCTTCAATGGCCCTTTAACAGGGGGTCAGGGAAAGCAACCATGCCGGATCCATAGCCAGAACCCAACCTGTGCCTTGCTGGTCCCTTTAAAATGCCATTTTTGCTTCCAGTTGTTGATGACGAGCCGTGAAGATCCGGGGCTCTCCCCGCTAGCCGCCGTCGACATGAATGCCCTGGTTGGCTACAGGAATCTGTCACTGCACTTCGAGGACCGGGCACTGCGGTTTAACTTTGACCAGGTATGACGGTAGCAACGCGAAATTTGTACCATAACGGACGGCAACGTAGGGAAACGTAAACGTGCGAAGCCCATACGACCGTGACCGGCCGACGTTAGCATAGCATAGCGTACGGTAATATAGCGTACACTAACGTAGTCAGGCGCATGCTCTCGTGGCCTAGCGTACAATACGTGGATTAAGGTAGCTTAGCGTACGATAATGTATCAGAGTACACAAAGCCGTAGCTTGACGTACAGATCGGCAGCTCGGTACAGCTTTCAGCTTGGTATCGTATCCCAACGTACATAACGCAGCCTAAAATTAGCGAGTGCGGGGTCGCGTAGCGTAGCGTACAGTAATGTAACGACAGATACCGTAGCTGTGCATATTTTAGCTCAAGCTAATATCGTATGGCAGACGTAAGCATCGTAGCTAAGCGTCGCTCAGCGTAATAACGTACAGTAACGTAGTTATTGGTGTAAAAATTACTAGGGATCTTTCCAGATGCGCCTCCGCTCGTCGGCCAACATTTCACACCTTTTGTGGCCTCTCGATATTGGCGAGCATCAGCTTGACGTCGATTTGGATGTGAGCAGACTTTAAAGGGGCGTGCAACCCATTTTCAGTTACCGCGCGGCGAGGTGAAGATGATGATCGGGGAGGAGACGATGAGTATGGCTGAGTGTCTGCTCCACGAGCCAAAGGTACTTTTTTCCCATTAAAGGGGCGAGCAAGAGCAAGAATATTGTTCAAATGATAATTTGTATAATTTTAAATCCTTACTAATTAATTGTACTTACTAACTAATTAAACAAAGTTAAAATCAAGGTTTTCAGTTTTATCGATATTTGTTACAGTTGGCCGGCCATCTGGGTGGCCAATGGATGGTAGAGGGAGCGATGTCGGTGCTTGGCTACCTGTTTTCCCCAACCCTCGACTCGACCCTCTGCTACCTTCTATCGCACTATTTTGCCGACATCCCGCACAGCAATATCATGTGGGTTTGAGCACCATGGAACGGGCCAGCTAGCAAAGGTTTTCGGGGAAAAATAACTAGGTCTGGCAGGCTAGCGGAGATCATTGAGGATTTTAGAAAACAAGCCAAGAAAGTATAGAAAGTTGAGGAGGTGGGAGAGCTAGCAGAGGCGAGTTGAGATTCCTGTGGAGTCTTGGTAAGGGTAGGCTAGCAGTGAGGCTTGGGGAGATCGGAAGATGAGCAAGAGAGGACACTGAAACGGGGCATGCCAGCAGAGACGCTTTGAGAAATGAGCACCAGACAGGGCAGGCTGGCAGAGAACATTGTGGAATTCCAGAAGAGTAAGAAAGACATCTTCAAGCTAGGAAACAGGTGTGAAAGAATTGGGGCAGGCTAGCAGAGTCCATTTCGGAAACAATTCCATTATAGGCGCTTCCCAATCCACTCCCTCCTTCCACCAAAAGCTCGCGAATTCTTGGCGCACAACGAGACGAATCTGTTCTACCGTCTGCGGTCTGTGGACATTCACGAACATCAGATGACCGTCCGGGCCATTGTCGAGTGGAACAGACAGGTATGTTGCGGTTTTAAAGGACCATTCAAGTAACTTCTTCTAGGCCGACGAGTCGGACCCGTTCGCCGCCTCAAACACAAGCCAATTCGAGATGGAGTTGAAGGGGGATGACCGGGTGACGATATGGCTTGAGGATACCGTACTCAACGAGCTCATCAACCAGGTATGAAATGATTTAAAGGGACTGGGAAGCTCGCAAATCGCATCGCAATCCATAGCCAAAAGAAGCTATTTTCTTACCTTGCCATTATCTTTAAAAGCCTTCGCTAGTGTCAGGATCGACCGCATCAATAGACTAGGTCTAGACAGGTACGCTCAAGCTCTAAAGGCGCGTGAACCCCAATTTTCTTAGCGTGTTGGCCTGCTGCGTAGATGTCAAGACCTAATCATACCATCGGGTATATTCTGGGCACTTTCCAAGGCCTTTAAGCGCGCCGGAAACCGACATAAAGTCCAAGATTTCAGGTCGAATGGAGTTTCGAGTGGATGTCCGAGAAGATCCCTGTGACATCCCCAATGATCCCCGCCGATTCCCGTGATTTCCTTCAAACGCTGTGTACGGAGTGCTACTTCCTGTTGAACGTCTCGGCCAGTGGCATTCCGCAGATACAGGCCACCAACGAGTCGCTCGTCCTCGAGAAGTCAGTTACGAAAAATCCATCTCTCTGCTCTTCCCTTTAACACAGTCATATTCTAGAACCGACCGTATCAACCTGCGCGTCGTCAACGCGGATCGTAACGTAACTTCCGTGTTTGTGTCCTTTGTGCTGAAGATTCAGGTTTGACCATTTTTATCGTCTATTACATCCTTTCCAACCCCTTAAAACCCAACCCCGACCCTTTAGGCGCAACTACAGCCAACGTTCGACAACGGAGTGTTGCGTACACTCGTCCAACTCCTTGATACCGACATCAAGATGGAGGAGAGCGGCGCGTTCCCCGGAAATTGGGGGCTGTTCATGCAGGATTTGATGAGAGGTACCCAAGCTTAAGCAAAGCCTAAGCCTAAGTTAAGCTTAAGCTAAGCCTAAGCTAAGCCTAAGCTAAGCCTAAGCTAAGCCTAAGCTAAGCCTAAGCTAAGCCTAAGCTAAGCCTAAGCTAAGCCTAAGCTAAGCCTAAGCTAAGCCTAAGCTAAGCCTAAGCTAAGCCTAAGCTAAGCCTAAGCTAAGCCTAAGCTAAGCCTAAGCTAAGCGCAAACCTTATCTGATTGTAGGTATGATTCTGGACATGCTGTGGCCCGAGCTGAAGCACGCCATCGAGGAGGTGTCGTACGGAAAGGGGCTACGCGTGTCACAGCATTGTGGATGGGATCCGGCAAGATCCGAGATTGATATCGGTAAGGTTATGTACTGTAGTTAGGAAAAATCTATGTAAAATTGATATATGAATTATCTAAATGTAAGAATACATCTAAGGAGTAAAAATAAAGAAATTAAGTTAATAAAACAAAGAGCAAGATAAAGTCTATTCGAAAAATCTCTATTTTCCGGCATAATGTCATCCTTTTTCAGCGGAGGGCGCCTTCTCCATCACCACCCGGCTGGCGCTGAACGACCTCGACTTGGAGAGGTACAAAATTACGGCTTTAAGATATTTTACAACCCACATTCTTTCTGCTGAATTCCAAAAATTCAAAAGCCCCAACAATTCTCGTGATTTCAGATGTGAGCGCGAGATGAAGAGCGCGATCCCGAACACGAGCAAACTCTTCCAGAAGCTCAACCCGACGGCCTAAGCCTGAACTCTAATCTTCTTTCGGAATTCCCCTTTAACGCCATCAACACGGGTTACTGTACTGTGCTCATATCTGCAAATTAACGGTCATTTTTGTCATAAAGCGTTTTAGAATATTTATTATGCAATTTCTATGTCTTTTCGTTTCTTGAATGCAACGTTGATGATGCATGAAACTATTCCGATCAATATTGAAGCGGCGACGCAGGCTAGGGCGAGTCTAAAATCTTGGCTTAGCGGCGTAGGCTTAGGCTTAGGCGTAGGTTAGGCTTGGGCTTGGGCTAAGGCTCAAGCTTAGGCGTAGGCTTGGGGTTTTAACTTACAGTAGCCACAACTTGAATTTTGCGCAACACATCGGGGTCCCGTCCTCCTCCTCGCAACATCCGTAGTAGCGAAACATTGACTCTTTTGGGCATCTAAAATCGGGTTGGGCGTTGTGGCTACGGTAGAGTACGCACCGATACGATCGAAGACAAAAAGCTACACGACTGTGCGCTAAGCGAAGCTACTGTACGTATAAAGATTCGGTTTTCGACTTAACTCACGCTAAGCTATAGAATTTCACGGGGCAGGAAGCTGCGCAAAGCTACGCGGCTGTACGCTAAAATAGGTTACTGTACAATAAGCTACGTCACTTTACGGCGATTCCGGTCGCTAAACTACGATACGTTAGGCTTACTTACAAGTAACTCGGGTGGAAGACGTCATGATATCGCTTGCAGAATGATTTCGAACCGATCGATGCCACTGAAAGCGAACGTAAATGTGTTTCATGCGTAGTGAAGCACGTGTCAGCTGCAACCCACCTTGTAAGGAATTTAAAATAGCCGCGGATAGGGATACAATTAACAGCAACGTCAGCAAGGCACATAGACAACGCGTTGAGGCTGGCAGTAGACAGAGCGAGTCGTGCTCGTCTGTCATAATCTGCAAATTAGTGAATGTCTGACCTGCGCATAAGCTTAAGCTTAAACCTAAGCTAAGCCTAGGCTAAGCCTAAGCTAGGCTTAAACTAAGCCTAAGCTAAGCCTAATCCAAGCCTATGCTAGCTAAACCTAAACTAACCCCTACCTCTTCAGTAATATATTTCCGATTTGACCGCAACGATGAGCGCGTATCAAACGACATTCGCAAAACGATACGCTCGATCGAACCTAAAGTTAGCAGAAAAAATTTTTAAACCCAGCGCAAAGAAACCAAAAGCAGGGCTGAAGCTGGCGGCGGAGCGCGGGTGCGACAAACTTTTATAGGCCCGTAAACTAGACGAGATCCGTCCCACCGCGGGCCCCCCTTGGCCACATAAAACACACACAAGCAAGCAGCAAATTCCCGGGGAAGGTCAAGATGGGCCACCCGAATTGGCTAAAGTGCCCGGCGCAATACCCTCTTTTCGGCCGCGCACATCCACGCGAAAATTCAATCGCCCCCATACGGCAACACCCGCACGACATGGGCACCCTAAAAATGACATTCACCCGGGGGTTTGACCTAAAGTTTTTTGATTTCTAAGAAATTGGGTAAACGCAGAGGGTTATTTTCACAATGTCCAAATTTTTAGAACACCGACATTCAATAACGCAGGAGTTTGCGGCATTTAGGTATATTTTGCGATTTCCCGGGAGATTTGTAGAAACGACTGGGATCAAATATTTCGGAATATTTCAAATCAACGCTAAAAATTTAAATATGAGCGTTTTTTATTTACGTAGAGTAGCTTAACTTAGCTTTCAGCAGTGTAGCTTTTCGTATACTATAGTATCATTGCGTACATCACCGTAGCCTCGACCTTCAACACCAACCTAGATGGCCAAAGGAGTCGATGTTTCGCTATTACTAGGGACGTTGCGAGGAGGAGGACGGAGGTTACGCAAAGTTCAACTTGTGGCTACTGTAAGTTAAAAACTCATAAGCCTAAACCTGAGCTAACAAGTAAGTCAGCAGGAGTACAGCGTAAAGTGTCGTAGTTTAGCGTCCAGAATCGCCGTAAAGTTACACGGCTTCGATATCCAGTTTTAGCGTACAGCTTAACGTACATTAATCCAGCCGAGCCCGTCGTTTCGTAGCCTATAATTAGCGCACAGTTGGCTCAGCGTGCAGAATCGTAGCTGAGCGTACAACGTCGTAACTTAAAGCAGATTTCTAAGCTTAGATGGACAATTTTTCAAAGCAATTCTAAGCGTATTATTCGCTTACGTACAGTCGTGTAGCTCTTTGTATACGATAGTATCATTGCGCACGCTATCGTGATATCTAAACCAAATTCAGATACCCTAAAGTGTTTTGCCATGGTGCCGTTCTTTGTTATTTTGTGGTTGTAATTTATTTTAAGTAGCCTATCTGATAGAATTTATTTCATTTTGAAATTCCGAGCTCCGAAGCCCTGTTATAGCGGGCGGTCGTTGTAATCAAGCGCTCGGAGATGGAGGGCGAGTAATGAAAAGAACAGACACAAACATCCGAGAGTATACATTTTACGGGAAGTGATCACACACCACACTCGTTCCAGAAACATCCAATAGGCTGCGTTGGATTGGTTGAAGTCAGCCGGTGTATACATGAATTCACGCCAACGCCCTGTAATAAGAATTTTTATGCTGACCTCTTTGGTGTTGCTACCAGCCGCCCACAGCAGCTTTGCCCCTCCTCCGCCCCGCCCACCCCGGGCGTCACTTGACCGACTATGGGTAAGACTCCAGCCCCAGCCGGCACCCAACTTTTGTATCTCGGCTCCCTGTTCATTTACAGATGTGTAACCAAAATACTCGCCACAGAAAGACGAACATTTTGGTATACTTGCTGACTACAGGGTGGGCCAAGCAAAAAGTACAGAGTTTGGGTCAAAATAACTCGCGAACGGTAGAGAATTGAAGGTGCGTTACCATGCCAGAATGCTTAAATATGCTGGGTATGAAGATTTAACACAACTTGATTTTTTCGATTTTTGGCGACGTATCAATACAAATGACACCCGAAAACTGTGCGTTCGGGGAAACTTGATTTGCATTTTTCTCAGTTTGCTGTGGTGGCTGGGTTCTAATTTTTACCATGTAAGTTAATGTAGGCGGTAGATATTCACCTACAAATTTTAAGAATTTTTGAAGGTCTACTTGCAAAGTTATAGAGGAATGAAATTTTGTATGGAGAAATTTCGTCAATTTCGAATTTTAGAAAAACTTATGGCACAAACCTCAAAAAAAATGCTTGTAGAATACCTACGGGCTTGACATAATCGCATAAACATATTAAAAAAATTTTCGAGATCGATGAATTTTCGAGTTTTTCAACGACCCCCTGGTCATGGATTTTTCGAGGTCACGAAACCGGACTTTAGCAAAATATTTCTAGATTGCCAAAGGGGCCTCATCTGTTTTCTTTGCTTAGCTATGTAGTACTGGGGTTTATCTATCATCTACAAAATTTCGAGCTACCGTACCCTTTTGGAAGAACATATTTTAGGGCCTCCAAAACGGTTGGTTCGTGCTTTTTTCCCAAACTCGCTAACAATTTATAAATTTTAACAGCGCTATGAAAATTGTGATTTTAATTTATCTGATATTATTTGAATAGCGCATCCTAAAACCACGTTCTAGAATTTATTTGACCAGCCGTTAGCGACAAGAAAATTCTTCAAAACCCGAAATAAACCGAATTCGAGGTTGCGTAAAAAAATTTTGGAAGGTGGAGTGGTAGGGATATTTTGAGCAATAATTCAGTGCTATCAGTTGAATAAAACTATGCAAAGATTGAAGCAATTTCGCGTCGCAAAAATTTTAAGAAGATTTCTAAACTTCGATTTTGGAATAGGGTGATCTTCGATTTTGAGCTGAAAGTCACCATAATTTTGAGTCAGATTGCTCCGGAATTTGACGGGCGTAGATAATAACATCAAAGCTATAATTGTATCCATAAGACCCAGCTGGTTTTTTTATTTTTAAAAATTCGAAAATTGACCCTGGCTACTCGGCCCAAAAATCAGCTCTCTGGCCTTGTTTTGCACTTTGCCTCGTAACTTTGTTATTTACCACCCAAAATCAGTAATTTTTCACAGGTTATCTTACAATCAACTCTAGAAGGCCCTCGAATCGAAAAATCGTCACTTTATGGAATTTTGTGATGGCATGCTAAAACGCGCTCCACGGGGGTTACTGTAAAAAACCGAAATTTGCGATTTTCGTGGTGTTTTTGCCATGGAATCGCTTCGATGTTTTCGTAAAACCAATAGTAGCAGTTTTTGGACCAATTTACTAAAAAAATTTACAAAATTCTGCCGCAGAATTAAAAAATCCGTTTTTAGTCTTTTTGATGAACGTTTGTGGATAGTACGCTCTCGTACTTGGCAGTAAGGTGCCACTACTTATTGCCTAACAACCCAGAAAATTTCAGCGGGATCGAAGCCAGGGGTCCCGAGAAAAGCGGGAAAAACGAAACCTACAGTACCCCGCTGGGGCACGTTTTAGCAAGCAATACAAAAATACCATAGATTGTGGTGGAATCCGGTGCGGGATCCGAGATTAATATTTGGATAAGCCATTGGCAAAAAAGCAGCCATGGGCAATGGGTTATAAGCGAGTTACGGCTCGATGAACAAAAATAACGCAAAATCGCGAAAATCGATTTGCTTTTAAAAAATGAAATAAACCTAGGAAAATTCTAAGATTTTGCCATTACGTTTCAATAAATTAAAGCCATTTATGAGCCAAAAATTAGAATTTTCCCACCACCCGTTCAAGAACGCACAATTTTCGGTCGTAACCAGCGTCAATAGTACAGTTTCGTACTCAAAAATCGAAAAAATCAAGTTGTGTTAAATCTTCATACCCAGCATATTTAAGCATTCTGGCATGGTAACGCACCTTCAATTCTCTACCGTTCGCGAGTTATTTTGACCCAAACTATGTACTTTTTGCTTGGCCCACCCTGTATGTACCCCACCGTGCAATTAGGCCAAATTACCATAGTCGCTCCTGCCGCCCCAAATGTCATTTTGGGTTCTGATTC